CCCTATACACAATCTTGGTAAGTAGGCTATTCACTGCTTCCCACTAAGCCCCTTTCCTTCAATATGACCTGTGAGTGTCAAATTTTCCAAGCTTTCTTTTCTCATTATGTACTCTATAAATTTCAACTATCTCTGGGTTTATTATTATAGGAAATGGATCAGTTGGGAAACCTTTACAAAAAATATTTTTAAGCAGTCATTTTGATATACTAAAATCTTAATATTAAAATGTTGAAGAAAGAAGGTTCTTGGATAATGTCATGTAGTAATTATCCAGGGAAAGCTGAATTCAGAAAAAAAATTAGCTTATTCTGGGTGTTATGTAATGTCAAAAGATTTTAAATTTTGTGGACCAATTTTTTTTTTCCAATCATTTTTTTTTTCATTCTTTCTTACATAAAAGAGAAAATAGAAAAGGGTCAAAAGTGCTTGGAATAATGTATTGTCACTTAAACCAAAACGGTGTCAGGAAAAGAAGGCAGCACCGAATTTCTCAAAGACATGCATAACGCGACAAAGAATGAAAAGGCTTATTGCCATTCAATTGGGTTTGGGCAATGCAAAGCAGAAAAGTTGCTCTTTCAGTCGAACAAGGAATAAAATGCATATTCTTACATAACACTCTTTTTCTTTCCTTAATGAAATGCCTAAGCTTTCTTAAAAAATATCAATTTCTAAGAAGAATAGAAATCTGATAATAATTCTTGCCATGATTTCTGAGAACAATTTTGCTGCTTAAATATAAAAGCTAGCTTGTTAACCATCACTCTCCAAAGGGTTACCAAACAATTTTTTAAATGTTATAATTATAGACCTTGATAATGTCATATGCATTGTAGTATAACTGTGAAATTTTCTTGACTGTTACGCAAGAGATCAAGGTTTAATTATGTATGCCTTGAAAAAGAGAATTATATATATATATATAAATTTACATGTATGATGTATAATTCTATTTTATTCAGCATGGTACCCAGACAATCTCATGGGTCAAATCTATAAGTGAACTAGAAGATAATATTTACCAACCTTCAAATTATGTGACTATCTAAGTCAGCAGAATGGCTCTGTTCATATAAATTTCTTCACGACAACTGCTACTAGTTAAATAACCTGCTAAATGCTTATAAGTCATAGAAAACAAACCAATCAATCAAATACTGATTAGCTACACTGGCATGTCTTTTAGATTTATTAACATTCTCTGGAATATAAATGTATAGAAAGTATAATAGTCACAAAGTGAAGGATCAGTTTATATACTGAATATAATATAGAATTGACCCCTTACTTTATATGCACATTATAAATTCTTGTTTGTTTATCAAATTTTACCTAAGCATGAATCCACCTCTTCTATCCCCAGTTATGGGTTAATTCGTAAGATTTATATCACTAAATCATTATCTTCGCAAAAACATTCTTAAAATCTAAAAATAGCTTCTGCCTTCAAATAACCTGTAATGGGTTGATAAGCCATAAAAGAATGAATGTATCAATCAAAAGTCATATATTGATTAAATAGTAAAAGTAGCATCACAAGAATTAATTAAATAAGACGGATTAACAGATTTTACTGAACATGAACACAGAAATCTATATTTGTAGATTGAATAAAGAGTTCAATTTCAAATTAACAATTGGTTACTCCATATGGCTGACACCTGAATTAATACAAATGTGTGCCATGCAAAACAATGTGACTATAAAAGAAGCCAAGGTAAAAATTCTTCATTTATGCGAAATGTCCATTTAAGATGTGAGTAATTAACATAGGATGAGAGAATTCAAAAGAGCCAGTGACCAAGTAACTAGAGGTAGTGTCTCAATAAAGTCACCATGGAGTAGACAACAGAAGACCACTTCTTTATCATTCCAAATACATATCAAATCTTTTCTTAGTACCATTAAAAAATGTATAAAATAATCTCAAAGATATTGTCTAAAAATGATCATACATACAACCAAAATGCCAAATATGAACCTAAAAACAGGGGAAAGGAAATTTTCTATATCATAGATCGAGCTGAGTTAATACTGACTTCTTTTACAAGCCAAGTTCTTTTAGGACATAAATTATCATAACGCTCCATAACTTTCTGTCTCTCTCTTAGTTCTTGTTCTTCCATTTAGTCATACAAAATTATTATGCTAGTAAGTGTTATTACCTATTATTCTGTCATTGCTTTGTTAGAGATGAAATAGAAGAGATGTGTAAGATGGTAGTAATCTACTAAAGCATGTATGAACGTAAAAGAGTCACCTATCATCTAACTAGATGTGGTGACTCAATAAAGTCACCATGGAGACAGTAACAGGAAACTACTCTACTATCATTCTGAAGACAAATCATGGCTAATAATAAAAAGAGGAGGAGAATACTAGTCTGAATAGATTAATATAGATTTTTAGGAATTTGGGGAAAAAAGTACTTCAGCAGAATTTTTATATATCATTTTGAAACTTTTTTCTTTCTTTCTTTCTTTAATAATCTGGATTAACATAGAAATTTAAAATTTCTAATATATTATTTAATTTTTTTTAAGAATAGGGAATATTATTTTTAATCCCCTTACTATTGATTAAACAGCTTTTAATTCTTACAAATTGTTGGAAACATAAGCTGTTTAGCTTAAATTTGACATTCTCCCACTGTGGTTTCAATATTTTCTATCAATTAATTCAAAGCTGGAAAACACACTCCTGAATATCCTGAATCCACATAAAATCCTCAAAGAAATTGTTTCTTAAATTTGTTAATTTAATGTTAAATTTATCCACAATTTCACCAAAATTTATACAAAGCTCTGACAGATGTGGTGGTGTTAGCATTATGCAGTTTTTCAAACCAGTGTTAAATTGCCATAAAACTGATAGCAGTCAACACAAGATAAAAAAAGTTAACATTTCTTTAAAGCAAAAATTAAACTTTTTTGTTTAGACCGACCCCAAAGTAACAGATGTCAAATTTTAATATCTTAGCAGATATTTGTAGATGAGACCAATCTTATTTGCATTGTTCATATAAAATGCAAAAGTTTCAGTTGGAAACTTGAAAAAAAAAATACACTCGGCTTCCCTTTGGTATTGAACTAATGGAAGAAAGAACAAGTTCCAAATTTTCCAATGGGAAAAAAAATTCCAAACAAATGTATGAAGTGATGATATAATTCCACAGATACTCATTGGTATCAAACCAATGAAAGAAAGAATAAAAGTTCCAAATTTTTCAGATTCGAAAGGAATACTGAAATAACCATTAAAGGTAGTCAATAAAAGCCAAAAGAAAGGATTAACACTTATAAGAAGGTAGAATGCATAGTTGCTAACAAAATCAAAATCCAGCAGCTGTAATTGTTTAACTATATATGTATTATCATCGCATATGATGGAAAGTGTGGCACAGACATCTTGACAGCATATAATAATGGCAGAAGATGTCTTTTAGTCACTGAGAAAAGTATTATGAGATTGGAAAGAAGATGATTAAAACCAATACCTAAACACACAGATAACAAAAACACTAATATAGGCTAACATCCCCTGGGCCTAGACTATGTCAACTGTATCCACTGTAGCAGTGTAACCAAAAACCCAGCCCCCAAAAAGGAGAATGGATGTTTACAGATTCAAGTGTGGGTGGATACAATTTTTGCTTTGTACATTCAAGTCTGAACATGACTAATGTTTACCTATGAACTTGGGTATAATCAAAGACAGTTTGCAAGTGTTGATATGTCGTATAAGCAATGAACCAATCAGCACTAATATTCTCCATTGAGATATACACTCATGGAACAACAGAAGCTACACTCTTGCTATATATGTACAATTTACAATGGGATTTTAATTTATTTCCTTACTTCAATGTCAATAACTAAAACCTTTTGAGTTAAACCTCTGAAGAAGGTTTTATGGGATAACAGTTAAAATGTAGGGACGATAACAAATCAAGACAATTTTTCATGTTAAAATAAGGAAAAAATAAATATAGAGGTTTATAAACCCCACCTCCCCAACATTTTTTTTTACTTTTTGCTAAAATCTTAAAAGAAATGACATATAGGATATCTTACAAAATGTCAAGATTTACAAACTTTATAGGAGTGGCACTTTGCGTTCATTGATTTACAATAGTACATAAAACTTGTAAAATACACTTGGCACAAACTATAGAACTAATATTAATATTTTCAACTAAATTACAAGCTATTACTGGAGATAGTATTTTTTCTCTATGTCCTACTTATTCTTAAGATAGTATTTTTTGGTGATTAGATTCATAGATTGATGATAGCAATGTGGTTCTTTCTACATAAAATATACAGCAAAATACTCCACAAACACGCAAGCAGATAGCATTAAAGCCATAGGAAAATACTACAGAAATCATCACAAAGGCAGCTCTGAATTTATTGCAAAGTGCTACAAAGGTCATCAAAAAGGCAGCTCTGAATTCATTGCAAAATGCTACAAAGACTGTCATAGAGGCAGCTCTGAATTCATAAGAAAATACTACAAATGACATCACAAAGGCAGCTGTGAATCCATAGCAAATAACAATTGATACCCTCAGGAACTTAGTTCTAAATTGGTCAGTAATAAAGTATTTTGAGTACGTTAAACATTTGGGCTTCTTGATTTTAATGAGTATTGAAATTCATAGCAGGAAAACCTCATTTTAAGGTTTTAAAGTTTATGAATACAAACTTTAATCTGAAGTGGATAAAATCAATTCTTAAAATTCTCTTCTTTATTTTTTTTCTTACTTTTGTTAGCATCAGATTCTTGTCTTAGATTAATAAGCATGAGAGAACAAAGGTAATGAGGGTGGGAGGGATTGGACTGGGTCCGATTTAAACCTGATAGGGGCAGAGCCAAGGGTCAAGGGTAGTCATGGCAGCAAAAGGTCAAAAGTCACATACCAGCAATGCTTTCCCTTTGTATCCATCCTCATGCGTACCATGCACGTTTGCATGCCTGGAGAAATGAGGCCCTACCCTCATCCGACGACCGATCCGTTCGATCAGGCGGTTTTGTTTTTGACGCCCAGAACGTTCCAGATAGAAACGCCACTCCAGACGGTGGACATAAAGATTTGGTATTATCACTTTCCTCTTGAAGTGCATCCGATGTTTGCTTTCCAGAATTGGATGGCCGCGCGTCTCCAGGGCAACTGTCAGGTTAGTAGGGAAGACAATGACTACAGCACCATCTGGTAGGTAGGTAACTTTTGTCTGCACTGCACCTGTAGTAGAAAATAAAAAGCACGAGATGAGAATGATCATTCTTACCCAGATGCTGGATATTAGGCAGGGATGGGACTAGGTAGCGAAAGATGCAAGAGAAACCTTGAGTTTTTCTCTCTTTTTTTTTTTTTTTCTCAAAAATTAAGTAAAAAAGTAGCAATTACAAAAACATGTAAAGCAGAATGTCAGTGTTAGTATATTCTGGAGAGCAGAGCAAGCAGTTGCGAGATTAAGAGAGCAAATAATTCAGACAAACTGGTAAAAAAAAAAAAAAAAATCAATCAGTCAAAAAAGTAAATATAATGATCAGTAAGTAAGAAAAAAAAAATCTAAAAAGTGGTCAATATTTTGTTCATCTCATATAGTAGATATAACTTCTAAAAAATTTGACAACATTTTTCCTCTATTTTTCAAAAAACTTATAGATAGAAAAAAAATAAAATTACTGAGAAAAACTGTCATTCCACTTTCTGAAATACCAAAAAAATCTGAGGATCTGATTCAAAAAATTAACACTTTCAATGCTGCATTGTTATAGGCTGTTGTCTGGTTGTGCTGGCCTGAAGAAAGAGGTTATGTTGCCATTTCCAGTAAAATAGACCCCTAGGCTATTTTGCTGGTTCCAGTAAAAATTCTATTTATATTTACCAGCAAAATAGCCTTGGTGTCTAATTTACCAGGACCAACAAAATAACCTCAAATGTTTAAAAAATTAATAAATTAGCATTTGCTAGAAATAAATGACTATAAAGATGCTAATGGTGATTTTTGATTAGTACCAGCCTTTTGGTTTCAGTCAAGTATTCTTCAGTACAAACTACAGTAAACAACACTTCCAATAAACATTATAAGAAAAGTACATCACAAAAATCATCATATTTTATGTCTGCACCAGTTTGAAAATAGCACTAAGCACTAGTTGGTTTATAATACAAAAACTAGGAGCAGATATTTTATGGTGGCTTGAAAGTGTATAGATGTGTTGGCAGCAGGCTGTATGAATTGGTAAAGGCAGCAGTGGAAATACTAAATTACATTTACTTTTTGTTGTTCTTTTTATGAACTTCAGAAAAAAGTGTGTTAATCCTGTCAAATGTTTCTGAAAGTTATATCAACAATTTGAGAGTAAGCAAAAACTAACCAATAATGCTAGCAATAATAATAAAGCATCAATATAAATAACTTAAAAAAAAAACATTCATTAATAATTATTAATATTAATTTATTATGGCAGTAATTTTCTAACTTAGAAATAATTAAGATTTATCACAACTTAGCAATTTGTCCATGCTTATAAATTTTGAATTGTTTTTATCACATTTTAGTCTTTCATATTCTCCAACCATTACCAAATATAATTCTATGTTCACCATGGGTGTTAACACAAGATGCATATATATATATATATATATATATAACTTCAAATGTTATTATTAGCGTATACTCATATTTGAAATAGATGCCCCATTTTCATTTTGCTTTTAATAAACCGTGTGTATTACTTCTGTTGGTTTGCACACTTAAGAAATCATAAGAAGGAAAATGTGCTCTCCAACATGGATCGAAACTGCATCCCCACCCACCCAACTTGTAAGTGAAACCAACCGTAAAAATATGGCATCTATTTCAAATCCTATTATCAACTATAATAACATTTGAAATAATAAAAATATTGGATTAAAAATAAACCCTTTAATTATTTAGATATATCTAAAAATTATATATATATATATATATATATATATGTGTGTGTGTGTGTGTGTGTGTATGTGTGTGTGTGTGAAATACTGTGACTTAACTATAAGCATGCTTTTACCCTAGGCTCATCAAGCTTTAAGATACACCCTAGCAATTACAACCTGATGAGCCTAAGGTGAAAGCATACTTGCAGGCAAATCAGCAAAATATCGCCTTTTTAATCAGACCTTAAATTGCATTGAGCATATCATTTTTTTATTTTATTGTTCATCATATTATATATCAGGATTCCCTGACGATCCACTTAGGTGAAACCTGGGTAGGTTTCACCTAAGCGTTTAAGGTTTATTTAGGTTTGCTCTACGGTTGTATTGAGCTGTTTTGTTAGTTGTTTACTTGTATTGGGTTTTTTTTCTTTGGGCTTCAAACCTGTATCTGTGTGATTTTTTCGACAGACTTTCATGTTTCTAGCTCTTTCTTTTTTTAAAACCTTTTTTTCCCTCGAGATTGATTTGATTATTGGCAAATCAAAAATTCAAGGGTTTTCCAAAATGAGTTTAGTTACTTATATTAGTATTTATATATATATATATATATATATATATATATATATATATATATATATATGTGTGTGTTTGTATGTTTGTGTGTGTGTTAACAACACCACATTTAAACATATTTAAATTTTGTTCCTCACCATTTTGTACAACTCAGATGAAACCCAGAGTTGCACCAAACGGTTAGGAATATTATATTTAATATTTAGTTATTTTACATTTAGCACTATTTTATTACCACCAGCACTCACTGAGTACTACATTATATATATATATATATATATATATATATATATATTGTGCAAATATACCCACCATATTTGATGGCATACATGACCCCACAACAAATTTACTTTTGATATTACATTAAATATGAGCTTTCATGAGACACAGGTCCCATTATATATAAAAGTCATTTTACAGTAAAAGTAAGGTGAGGGTTAAATTTTATCAAATATGGTATATATCTTGCTAAATAATTAAAACCGTATTATTTATGTATATATTCATCATACTATAAATATTGTTATATATAACTTCATTGTACTATAAATGTTATATTCAGTAGGTACAAATGTTTGATTAGAGATACTTGTTTTTTTTTTTAAAAAAAAAACTGGAATCAACATCTTTTAGTCTAGAACAAAAAACAAAGATATCTGCTAAAAACACATGTACCCTCTAAATATAATGTTTATCATAGTAAGGAATAATTATTAAAACTTCATGAATATTTATATAGATAAATAGATAGATAGATAAGCAAGTTTAATTTTAATGGCTTTTCTTTATCTTATTATTTCTAGTATTATAATAAAATCAACAAAAATAGGATAAAAAATGATAATTGGTCTACTTATGTAGATATAAAAAAGATAAATAAATATAGTAGGATCCTAATAGACTGCTTGTGATAAAAACAATAAGTACTTTTTAAATTTATTATGTTCCTTAAAACAATTTGATAAGTTGTAATAATGATACAGATAGTATAAATAATGTCTATAATAATTATTACAATCAGATCTGAACTGGGAATAAGTCATAGTAACAGTATTAAGATTTATAATAATACTAACAAATAAGAAGTGATTATGTAATAATATTTTATGGCAACCACATTAACATTAATAAAGCACAAACAAAAACGATATTATGATGGCTTTAAAAATTTATAAAATATTATTTTTAAGCTACAAAATTTTTGGAAATTGGTTTTATTTAAGGATTTTATTTTAGAAAAAGTGAAAATTAATTATTAAAATAAACTTTAGGAATATAAATATAAATTTTTAATGACAAATATTAAAATTAATTATAAAAATAAACTTTACAAATATAAAGAATTTTTAGAGAAAACATAATTATGAAAAAAAATGAACTTTAGAAATACAAACAAAAAATATAATTGCAAAAATTTTTTAAAAACATTTTTTTTTGTTTTTTCTGGACTATGATTTTCTATATTACTTTTTATTTTGTTGATGTTATTTGTTGATAACCCCTTCTTGAAAACAAACCAGAAACAAAATCATGTCAAAAGGTTGAGATGAATATTTTAGACATTTTAAGAGAGAAGATGAAAATAATTGCAAATAAAACAGACTGTTTGCATTAGACATAAAATGGGTATTTTGATATTTCCGTGTCAGTTTACATCATCCTTGAAAAAATCTGAGTTGCTCTTTAGAAAGATAAAGTGCCTGATAAATCATTTACACCCACTTATATACATAAGTTTTGTTTTATTCATGAGAGGTAAAAAAATTACAGAAAATTGCAGAAAAATTAGGCTATTTTTTTCAAATATTAATTTACATTTGCTGTCAAAAGGTGATGGCATATTTAAGTAATTTTAAACGGCAATGGTAACATGGCCTGCTATTCTTTTATTTATAGCCAACATCCTTGAATATTAAATTATAGAAAAAAAAACAAAATAACATTTGATATTCTGTTTTGCCACTTTGCTATAGATAAAAACAATAATCTGTTTCAATCAAAATATTTATTTAAATGTATTTTACTTTGTTTATCTGCAAGGCTAATTGTAAACTAAATATTCCTTTAATACAATATTCCCTATTTAAATGTGTTTTCGTATTTCTACTTCATCAGAGAGTCCACTACATTTCTGTTAAGTAGAATCTTTTGATGACACATAGTTGTTACACACACACACACACACACACATACACATACACAGTTCCATTAAAGACAACCGATGAGGTACTGCATTTAAGCTTTTTTAATTTTTCTTGTGTTCACAGAATTTTTTTTCTTTTGTGGACAAAAGGTTATGTGAAAATTGTTTGAGTACTTTAACATTCTCATAACTCTGGATACGTTCATAAAAATCTACAACTTGAATTAAAATTAAAAATAAAAATAATCATCCTAGATAATGGCTAAAAACATTCGGACAATTTTTACCCACCTTATATAAAAAAAAAAAATTTTACCCACCTTTTAGAAAAAAAAACACACATTGAATAAAAAGCCTGAACACAGTACCTTGTCAGTCATCTTTAATGAAATTTGTATGAAAAAGAAATTGCTGCCCAAATACAAAATTATATATATATATATATATTTGTGTGTGTGTGTAGGATAAAAATATAGTTTTAAGGTATGCTATATTTATGGGTAAAAGTATTCAATATTATTGATAGAGCATATATAAATATAAAAGTTAACACTGAGGCCAACACAGAGTGGTGATAGTCTGTTTTATGCTTGAACAC